ACGTGAAGTCCTATTTTCGAAAATTTTTATTGCATTTTTGAACAAATTACAAAATTGCTATTTTTGAAATTTGGCCATGTGGCGCAGAAATAGGAGGTCTTTAGACTGAGCCAACCATAGGAATGAGACAATCTACAAACATATCCACCAGGATTATCAATAAATATTGCCATCATGATTAACCCTATAAATTTTGTTCAATAATTAAGATCAACCATAAAAAATTCTCTAAAAGCAGAATTAAATAATGTTTACCTGAATGGATAACTCTTATCATTTGCATTTGTTCACTCTGTTTGGATTTTTTCATTAATTTGACAAGCATATTTTTTAAAATTTTCAGGAGTTTTATTTTTGATTCTTCAAAAAATTTTGTGTCAAATTCATCTGTTCACTTCTTCCCAACTTCTCCTGTGCCAAATTTGTCAAGGTCACCATTTCCAGTTCTTCTAAGAATCCAATCACCATGATTTCCTATTTTTTTTTCTTTCTCCAGAACTTACCCTACCCATGTTTTTTGCCACAGACATAGCAATACTAACACTTTCGCCACTGAAATATCAACAAAAGTTATGGAAATTATTCTAAAAAACCAGTGCTCAGAAAAATTTCAAAATGATAAGTTAGGTCATTACCGAACAACTGAAACTCCCTTTAAATTGCCAAATCCTTGGTCTATGATTGGTGACCACACATGGCAGTTATACCATGATTCTAAATTGGCATTTTTTAAACCACAACTCTCTACTTCTTGGATCCTATGTAAAGTTAATATATATTTAGTGAACTATATAACATATCCCTACTAAAAGCACAAACTGACATTGTGTATAATGCGAATCTGATATAGTCTATATCATGGTGATTTTCTTTTTCGTAATCTTTACCCAATCTTTCATCAGTTTTATTGATGAAATCTCTCATGTCTTTTAAATTAGACAACTGTAAAAAGGAGAACCAATCAATAAAATGATACAATCATCAATGGAAAGATTTGTTAGCAACAAATGATTACCTTTTTATATATATCCTCTATATACTCTTGTACCTCAGTAGATAAATCTTTAACTTTTGGTCTAGATGCATCCATCAATTCATTGATTTCAATTTCAGTAAAGTGATTTTTGATAATGTCATCATTGATATCAAGAATGAATGAATGGATCATACTAAATATATAAAGATTTTTATTATAAAGTTGGTGTTTATCTGTTAAGGATACCGGCTGCAACTTTTGATGATGGTTGCTACCATCTTTGCGTCATATAAAAATGATTGCAACCACTGGTTGCAACCACCTTTACGACCATTTTGTTTCCTTTTTTGGATTGCAACATGGAACACTATTATCTGTTTATCATATAAAACAAGCATGATACTTACTTTTCATAAATTAATGTTTGTCCAATGTTATACATTTCCTCTTCCACATATCTACCTGACAATAATTTCCACATGTTTTCTTTTTTCATTAAACCATATTTTTGATTAATAACCATCCTATCACATTTGGTTAATTCATTTTTTTTTCCATTTTTTTTATATGGTTAGAGGATAACTATTTAACATAATAATGTGAATATCCTAGTAAAACATTAAACATTAAAACAAAACAATCATATCTTATCCATTTGGAGATACAGTTTACTTACATTTTCTTTTAGCTGTGGGTATTTCTCCTTCCTAAAAAGTAAATATGAAGAAATCAAATCAATTATCAGATGTATAATTAAATTAAACTAGAGTGACAACGAGTGGCAGGCAATAACCACCACCACCATCCTTCTTAAAACACTTACTCTCTGATAGCACTGGTATTTTCTTGTCTGCTTCTTTTTTTGGAATCTTTTTTTGAAGACATTTTTTTAAAAAAAATGAAGTTTGTGATTTGATCGACGTGTACACATTAATTACTTATCCTATTGGTTTTTTTTTTTGGTAGGACAGATGTGAATTGACTGATTTTTTTTTTTTTTTGGAAAAACCAATTTATTTTTTGACAGAGCCCAAGGTGACAAAACGTGAGTGCTGTTGTTTGGTTTGGCTTGGGTCTCCTAAAGAATATGTGTTAATAACTAACCAGAGGTACTATTTTTTATTTGTATTGATATGTATGAGATGTCTTTTATTTTAGTTCATAAATATTTTAATTGGAATCAAAAACACGGAGCAGATCTTTGCTGGGTGATTACAAGATTCTTATCAAGGTGATAATATTTTGCTTTACATAATCAATAATAATACTATCATTAATATATAATTACAAGAAGATGTCAAGGAAATACACTGTTGCAAAAGAAACAATTCAATATGAAAAATTTCAAGTATGAAACATTTCAATATGTGATGTTTGATTATTGGAAATTAGCAGACATTAAAGCATGCATGCTACCTTGAACACTTTACAGTCATTCTCACACATTCCTTGTGTACATAAGGCTAATCTGACCTGCTCCACCCTATGAATATGATGATGCCTTCGATACCAGGGGGAGGTGCGTGGCCCTGGAAGTTTATCGAGACTGCATCAATTGTCAATGACACTTTCACTAATCTTCCCAGACCAGAGATGGCCACTGCCATGTTAGCCGAAAATTTGCCTGCAACAATCCTACCTCTGGGGTAAGGATGGCTCTGTGACCAAGCTGTCACAACTCTGCTGATGAATTGTAGTGCCATGTAAATATCCAGATCCATCAAAGCAACAAGAATCTGCAACTTGTTTCAAGCACCAGGAGGTTACAATTCAGAGCAGGGTTGGTGGCCCTGAAATTGCATCTGGACTCTGATGTTAAGAGGAAAGCTGTAAAATAGTGTCTGTTTTGTATAATCATTTTCACAAATGCTCTGTTTCACTGATACTAACCAATTTAATAATTTTAGGTAGGGGACTGAATGGGGTTTTTGCCCTTGTTGTATAGATTAAAATTATTGCACGGCTATATACATCTTTGTCAGCAATATGGCCAACAAGAAAAAGTCATAAAATGGTTTGGATTTTGGTATGTTATGTTATA